CTCGTCGATCCCCCCTGGGGAGGCGAGCGGCGGAGGTGCCGATATCGGCTCATCTCCCGCTCCCCGTGGGAGTATGTAAACTTTCCTCAAGATCGGTCTGTGCCGTCTGCCAGATCTCCCTTACCGCAGGCTCTTCTTGTGTCATATTCAGTTACCTGCTCTAATAATGTTTAGACTTTCCAGGTTTAGGCCTCCCCCACATCCCTCTTTGCCCCCTAGTTGTTTTGGTTTTTTTTCCTCCTAAGGAAGTTGCCTGGATAAGTTTCTAGCCTACTTTTTGTAGTGGTTGTAGGATGCTGCGTGAATGTAACTCTTGGATAAAGATTTCTAAGGGACTCATGACTTTCGCTTCCTAGCTACGGGCACCTACAGGATGCCTTCCTTCACCTCAACTTTATGCCCCCATCTCCAGAATGATGCCCTCAAAAATGAGTGATTGACTCTAGAAACTAGAAAGTACTTGAAAGGTTCTTGAACAGAGACTCTGGTATCTCTAGTGAGCATCTTGAAAAAATCCATACAATTATTTTCTGTAGCTTCTCCTGAGCGTCCAAACCACTTCAGCATGTGTAATGAAATTTTACAAGGCTTGTGTACTTATCTTGTAGGTTTTCCTTAGGTATCTGAAATTTTTTTCACAAGCAAATATAAATCCTAATTTGGAAAAAAAATGATTTTAGAATCGTACAGGCTACACAGCAGAACAAACTTTACATGAGAAAGTATAGCATGTAGGTCACTGTCCTTTGTTGGAATACAAGTGGGGTCTTAACTCCCATAAACAGACAGTAGCTCTTGAAACGTATTTGGGCAATAAATAGAAATTAGAATCCAGGTTACTTTCCGTTCTTTGGTGCTGAACAACATCTCGTACACCGAGAGAGTCCTTTGCCTGAGAGTCACTGAACTTGCACTATTCTTTTACATTCAAAAATCTGTCGACTAGAACTCAGTAAAACAGTGTGGGGGCCATGTGAGCTTGTAAAGCGTGCTGCTTGGAAGATAAAATTAAGGTACTGTTAGGGCAAGCAGCAGGTCAGATCCCTTAGTGGACATTAAGAAACTTGAATGCAAATGAGCCAAAATTTTTGAGTGAAAAACTGCTGAATGAGTCTCCTCTTTTGTGATTTTTTAGAGTAGTATGATTTTTAGAGTAGACATAACTTTACATTTTTTAGTCCAAGCCTGTGGAAAATGTATCTGTATGTAAGTCTGTGTTTTATGGTACGTGTGTTCCATTTTGGTAGAGATTGTGCATAATTTCCTAGTCAGTGATTCCACAGTACCTTGCTTATTGTGATCCGATGTATGAGACTTTCTCTGACAAAGCTGACAAGTAAGATTCTGTCAACAACATATTTAAACAGTATTTTATGTCTTACTCATTTGTTAGCTTTTTAAACATGAAAAACAGAAATACTGAGCTGGTTTTATTTTGCATTATTTTTCTTCTTCCAATGAAATGTCGCTTGATACTTGGCAGACTGGATTAGTTGCTTTTGGGTGATTTACCTCAGGAGATGAAAACATAATTTTGAGTGTTTGTGTTCAGAATTTTGTGTCTGTGGTATAGCTACAGAACTTGGTTCGTTTTTTTCAGAAAATGGGATTTTTTAAATGGACAGGATAAGTGCATTTTGGCACAAAGAGAAGTGATCCCAGGGTGATGTTTTCTCACATTTATGAGAAAGCAAACATAATTTAGAGAGAGGTCTGCAGATGAAATGCTTGTAAAATGTTTCTCATGCTCGGGTTTATTTCTGCAGTCTTTAGAAATGTGTAAGTAGTGGTAATGCCTAGTGATACAGGAAACACAACGCAGGACTGGAAAGAAAACTTTTAGATACTGTTGTGAAATGCTTTCAGAGTAATTTAATCTGATGGTGAAAAGAACGTGAATTTCCTTTCTGGCATACCCAGATTCTCTTTTCTGTTTGTGTTTCAAATGATTTTTCATGTGTTAAATTATTTATAATTGAATAAGTATTAAAAAACATAGTATTTGCTTTTTTTTTTTAAATAGCTTCAACATCCAAGAATCTTCAAATAAATATTGACATCATTTTTAACTTCACTGTGAGCCTTAAAAAAATTAATTATGCAAAAGTACTTCAAAAAGTTAGGTTCTGTCAGGTTCCAGTATTGCTGTAGTGACGGGTCTCGTGTCTGTTAGTGCACTGCAAGGCATTAAGCTGAGAGAAGATTCTTTAAAATCTTGTTCCTTGGAAAGTTACTACTCATATAAATTTAAAATGCTGAGAGCTACTAAATACATTTTTATGTGTTTGTTAAATTATTTGCATTTTCTAAAATATGAATTTACTTGTTAAATTGAAGGATAGCTATTTTCTCTAGTAGTAATTCTTATTCCTGTAAGTCAGTGGAAACTGTGCATGTGTTCAAGGAAGTCCGTCTTCCTTTTAAGAACTACTCTCACTGCTGCCAGTATAGTGATAATATAATCTGAATATAAAATTAAACAGGTAGACACAAATTGATGTGTGTGTGTATAGTTATTTAGGCCAAAGCAGAATCTCTTGCATTTTAAATTATTTTTTAATATATTTCTAACCCATCACTGTGTGATTTATGTTGAGCCATTGAATGTGACCCGAGAACAAGAAGTCTTTGTGATATTATTTCCTACTTATTCTTTGTAGGTATTTGTCCTACTTCCAAATATTATTATTATTATTATTAAAGTTAAAAGAAATTTAAAAACCACCATGCATTGAAGATCCGTGTATCTTTCCTTCAGAAGCCATTCCTTCTTTCTACGCAGAAGGGATTACAGAATGGTCCTGTTTTGTTTTTTCTTTAGAAGAATACAGTATAGTAATTCTTTTGTGTTTAAACACTTCAGGACTCTCTATTGCCACTGCAGAAGGGTGTGACTAGTTTATCCAGATTGGCACATTTTTTGTGCAAATCAGCAAGATCTGAAATCTATGCATTCTTCTTATGAGTATGCGTCACCGGTGGGTAAACTGCTTTCCAGTCCGAAAAGAAAGCAAATGAAGCTGTTGATAAAGCAAAGGCACAGGGTACAGGACAGACACCTTTTCATGCAGGAGTTTTGTAGGAAACACTGCGAGACAAATGGTTAAAACGCAGCCTGTGAAAATCTGCTGAAGAGCGAGGCTCTAACAGGATTGTCTTTTAGCAGAAGTGCACGCCGACAGAGACATAATGACATTCCTCTGCCTTCGATTAAAAGAACAGTGAGTGATATTAGTATTATGAGAGTCTGACAGCACGGAGGAGCGGGCAGGTTTGCCTATGCAAATTTCAAGAGCCAGTCGTGCATTTTCGTGCAGATTGTCGTCGTACACTGTCCAGCTGTACTGCAATGCTGCTGTTCTTCCTGCTGGATTTTGTATGTTTGCCCAACAGAAATATCAAACTATATGGTGGCTTTTCTTATTTATATGTACATCTAATGCAGACAAAGGCTGAGGAGGATGCGTCTAGTTGTGGCCAATTCTGACAGTATGGCTCAAATCTCCGAAGTAAAAAGCTGTAATTAAGTCTATTTGCAGAAGATGATCTTTTCTTTCTTGGGAGGTGTAGAAGCAAGTGAACACAAACTACTTAATCCTGGGCCGAGAAGCACATATGCACATTAGGTGTTTTCACTTTTGAACTTGCAGTGTCTGCCTGATGAGGGGATTGAGATGTCAGTGTTATATTTTAAAATGAGCTGCTGGTAACACGTGAAAAGTTTGTGGTTCATGCCGTGTTTAATTGTAAGTTACTTTTAGATGAGAATAACGGCTCGCATGCACTTGCTGAAAACTATTATGGCATTGCTAAATTTACTGTGGGTCTTGAAAAGGTTTCCATTGCACCACGTTAGTCATAGATCCTTTTAAAATTTTGTTCTAATGCTGTTTGAGTAGCCGCGTGTATGTGCGAAATCTCCAAAGCGGTAACGTTTTATCTTCTCATCTCTACCATCATCTAAGAGTAGTTACTCATCTGCTGCAGCACTTTGTGAGCTTCTACGCTGAAAACCTGTTCTAGATGCTGTGCTGGACTCAGGTTTTTCTTAGCTTCTGTTTTTGACAAAGTTCAGCAGCATGTATTTTATTGCGTGCACAGGCAGTGTGTTTTGTACAAATTCCTTTGCTGTAATAAATAACTAAGAAGGGGATGAAGGAGTTGCAGCACCTTTTTCCTCTAGTGATTACTGTACATGTTGTATTTTCCACTTCTTTTCCCTCTAAGTTCTATATTGACATCCCAAGTTTTATGTTAATGTTCAAACTTTTCTACCTAAAGGACCAATTCTGCTTGCTGATAAAATTTCCTAAAGAACTGGCAAAATGCTGCCTTTTCTTGGTGCGTATTTATTTGGATATTTTGAAGTACCATAAAGAAAAGGGTGAAGAGTGGTTCACTTTCAAGCAGTCAATATTACATTTATAAATAAGTTGCCTTTTGTTGGTGTTAACCTGCTGATTGCACCTTTTTTTTTCTGTAGCATTGAGAGGATTGACGTGGAGTTCCAAGGTCATTTAAAATCATGACAAGCTCAGTTGGACAGAAAAAAGTCTCTTCAAGACAAAGGAAGTGTGGTTTTTGTAGATCTAATAAAGATAATGAATGTGGACAATTATTGATGTCAGAAAACCAGAAGGTGGCAGCACATCACAAATGTATGGTAAGTAACCAACATTAAAAAGGAAAGGAGTGTAGCAGCTTGTAAAAGACTATAAACAAATGAAAAATTTAACCAGCTGCGGCCTTAGCAGAAATGATTATTCACATTAATTTGAATTTTTTTTGTGAGTTTCATATATATATGTCGATGTTTTATATCACTTACCCTTAAAACTTAAAAAATAAGTTTTGTTCTTGTAATTTTAGCTATTCTCATCTGCACTGGTATCTTCACACACTGATAATGAGAGTCTTGGTGGATTCTCTATTGAAGATATTCAGAAAGAAATAAAGAGAGGCACTAAACTGGTAAGTATATTATTGGCCTTTGAAAATGGAAGACAGTATTTTCTTTCCTTTATAAAGTTTAACTTCTTTGGTATATTATGTTTGTGATGTCTGGGTTTTTAAGTGGTACCTTTGTGTGATCTCTAATAGACAACTTACAGAAGAAGGTGTTGAAGTAAAATAGTTTTATATTTACAAACAGAAACCCTCAGTAGATATGATTATACTGACATTGACATTTAAATGCCAGTTAACCAACCCTTGAAGTGTCTTTAGGAAAGAACAAGAAGTTTGTTGATTTTAGTTGAGTTCTACTCTTATGTGAACATGTTGTTTTAAGAGTTGTAGCTTAATATCTCTAAGGTACCTTCCAGCCTAGGCCATTCTATGATTCTATGATTAATCAGGGGATTATTAAAAAAATTTATCCAAAATTACTGGTTTTAGAGTCACTTTTTTCCTCATTGGCAAATGTAGATGGTTGTAACAGATAATGTGTTTTTACCAATTAAATTTGAAAACTCATTTAAAGAAAAATGGCTAATTTTTCTTTTTGATGGGCTACATATAAACAATAGCAGTTCCTAAATTTATGCTTCTAATCCAGTAATTTCTATTTAATATTTTCTGTTAGATTTCAGAAAGAAACCCACATTCTAGGGACCTGGCGAGGGTATTATTGTGCCTTTACCAGTATTTGGTTTTGCTGCCAAAATCTGGTTTTAACTACCAAAGGTACTTTTATTGCTTCCTTTTATATTGATTTAATAGATGATTTTGTGAATATAGATATCGTATGAGGTATGTGGGTACAATAGTGATTGCAGCTCTACCAAATTCATAAGAATTCTTTTAATTCCTGAGAAGCTAATTAATGATTTTTTCTTTTTTTTTAAAATTTTATTTGGAACTAGTTCTTTTCCATTTGGAGAAATGAGTGAGGCTTTTAAAAAATATTTTTAACAAGTGATCAGTTCACTCCTCACATGAAAAATGTTCAGCTTAGTGATTTAAAGCACTGTTTTGTATTTACCAATTTAGACTACTAAGAGCAGTCTGAAGTATTATTGTCGAACTGTAGTTATAGTCTAATATTTCATAATAGTCTAATGTTTCATCCAGTGTTTCATGTGAATCTTTTCCAACACAGGGAACTTTTTTCCCTCTAATTAGCTGAAGCATGAAGCAGTAACTATTCACAAGTAATTCATGTTGTGATTAGGAATTTCTGAAGAACATGATGGTAAATGGAACTCCATATCATAAAGAAACTTATTGATTCTTGGGTCTCTTAATTTTTTTTTTTATAGTTATTTCTTTTTATGTCATTGGTACTCTCTGTCTTTCTGCTTCTGAATCTCTTGATGTTCTTTCACTGATGCATGAGCTGGATATATCCTTGGAGCTCACTTAGCTGTACGTACCGGGCGCTTTATTCAGCTTTTTGCAGAAACCCTGGCTCTGGTTAACCTGGCAGATACGTAGTCCCGAGATGTTTGCTCTGTGGAGGATTTACAAGATCATTTTTGATCTTAACTTAGATGCCTTATCTCTGTCTGGAGCTCTCCGGGAAACAACCTACGGCTCTGAATCACACTCTGGAGGAATCTTGTCTTTCTCCATCAACCTGTATAGGAAGCTTAAAGCTGAATGTTTGCAGTTAGCCCAAGTACTCCCTCTCAGGTCTGCTTTCTGTTCCAACCTGAGCAAAAATATCTCAGTGTGGTGACCGGGTTAAGTAATTATACTGACAGCTTGAATTCAGTGTGTTTGCTGGTAGGTTTTACATATTAAAGATTTTAGGTAGCACCACATTCAGGAGGTGCTGCCGCTCTCCAGGTAGGCACTGAGGCCTGCTCCGTACTGGAGGGATGCAGACTGACGTGTAGAGCCTTTCTGATGGTGATGTGTTTCTGGCTGGGAGCAGTTCTTAGGTTCAAGCCTTAACAGGCCAGTCATAAATCTTTCGAAATCTAAATATTTGGGAGTACAAGGCACGGATACCAATATAGTATCTCTTAGCTGTGCATGGGAGCGGGTTTTTTTAAAGAGCTCACTTATTTTGCAGCTTGTCAAACTTCGCTTATAGCTAATACGATTTGGGAATTGTAATCTGTTGACAGTGAATATTTGGACACCAGGGCTTGTACCAGTGGAATAAATATTTTATTGCTGTCAGGAAACATAGACCAATAAATCAGTGCAAAAATCTGTGGTCTGTTTTGTTCATATGGATGCATCATGGTGTTCATGAAAAGAAAATTTTATTTTAGTCATTTCTGACTTTCAGAGTACTGAAGTACTGACTAAAATTGATTAGATAGGTATAATGTCAAGCTAGGCTTTTATAAAGAGCTTTGATCAGCCATTTTTTATATTAAACCATGAGGTATAACAAATTTATGGGATAAAATACCCATACAAATTAGATAACAAATAGGAAACAATATATAACTATACAATTTCAGAGCTTGCAGGGGAGTAAATGGAAACGATCCAAGGCTTTGACATTTTTACTGTTCAGTTAGCTTTGTTAAAATTGAAAAACAGACTGGTGATACATAACTTTGGTGGTATATTTATTTGGCATGTTTGAGACTAAAGAAAAGGAAGCTAGTGCAGCGGACAGAAAGCGTATTCTGCAAAGACAGGTGTCGGGAGTGCCCTGTGTTGCATACTGAACGCTTGTAGATTTGGAATTAATTGAAAGCTTTTTGAGGGGTGTGGTATACAGACAAAAAGCTCAGGTTGTTATGGGAGGGAAGTTCAGTGGGAAGTTCTGAGACTTCAGGGCAATATTATGTCAGAAAATAATACAGAGAAAAATACTGCGATACTGTAAGTTAATTTCTAACACAGTGTAAGGAGAGCAGTGAGCGATTTAGAAGCATCATAGCTTGTGTATCCTAATCAATGATGAGTGTAACACGAGAACAGTTAATTATTGGGAAAGAAGAGTAAGGCGACAGGCTCCCATGTAACTTTCTCTTCAATATAAGTATAAAGAGCAGAATTTAGTCTAATTGAAATGTTTGTTGTATTTAACCAGTGTTACACTAAATTCAATGTTTTGGAAACAAATCACTATATAGAAAAAAGAGGTACAGTTGGCTGCCGAGGCCAAGATCATCAATATTTCTGACTGCAAGATTTATTGCCAAATGGGTGTCATTTTGTGGAGTTTTTTGGTGTGGTTTGATTTTTCTTTTTACCACCTTCATAATGTTATTCATAATTAAACAGGTACAATTTATGAGTTTGTAAGAACTGTTTCAGAAAAGTCAAACAGGCTGTCCCAGGCATGGGATATTTAGGTGAATAGCAGTGTCACTTCCATCAAACATGTTCCCCAAAAGTAAATTACTTATTTCCTTCATTAAATTGATAATGAATGTATGATGGTTATTGTACTGTCGCATAATGACAACAAATTTCTCCTTGATTTTAAAAGAAATTATGAAAAACACCTGAGAGCAGGAAGAGTAATGCCAGGTACCTAACCCCATTTATTTTGTCACCAAGAGGGGTAGCTATATTGGTTTTGAACTCAGAAGTATGAAGCCAACAGTGACATGATTTGTGTTTTCTTTTTCTTTCCAGATGTGCTCTCTGTGCCATTGCCCTGGAGCGACCATTGGCTGTGATGTGAAAACGTGTCACAAGACATATCACTACTACTGTGCTTTGCATGATAAAGCTCAGATAAGAGAGAAACCCTCACAAGGCATTTACATGTAACTATTACTTATTTGCTGTGTTTCTTTTTGTATTTATCTTTCACATTCTCTGTGGAGTTTTTTTTGTTTTTTTGTTTTTTTAAAAAAACAAAACAAACACAAAGCAAAACAAAAAACCCCACTTTGGAATCTAAACAAAACTTGCAAAAAAATTCGAATGGTGATTGTGGCATTCAAAATAGTGATGTGCTAGAAAAGCATATTTTCACTGCAAGATTTGTGTATCAGTGAGACAAGTGGGAGAAAAATGTACTGGCATTTAAATTTAAAAGATGAGTAAATAATCTGTGAATCGTGACTGACTTGACAGTTTTCAACTACTTTGTTTATAGGATTTTATGTCGAAAACACAAGAAAACTACGCATAACTCTGAAGGTAAAATTATTCAATATAAATTTTTCCCGTTGTAGAAAGATACTTGGTTAAATTAAATTTTTCTGGAGAATATAAATGTTTTCAGTAAAAATTAGAACTACTATTTTTTTTTTGAGAAACAGTGAGTTTGGAAGACCATCTGATTTCTGTATTTTCTCTAAAAATTATTGATTAAGGTGAAGAAAAACCCAAAACATAAATTTTAGGATGTTCAAAAGATTCAATGTTCTGTCAAAACAAAGTTTGGGTAGAGATAACGCGTTACCTTCTGGGCAGAAGCTGGCTTATATTTCTACTTAAATATTCACAATATTAACATTTAAAATATTTTGTCAGGTAACAGCTGGTTTTTACTATTGTTAATGTTCCTAAATATTCACTGTTTTTTATTCACTATTAAATAAGAGTTTAACTCCTCGTCTAAGAAGGACCCAACAGTAAATTAAAGGTTTGTGATCAAATCGCTTGTGGCTATGAGTCATTTTGATAAACAAAAAAAGCTGTATGGATGCATTCATAAAAGCTGTGCTTTAATGTAGTGAAAAGCGTGAGGGGTGATACGCCACAAATGAACATAAATCGTGTGGTCAGCTAAAGTTCCAAACTAGTTGTATTATTGTGTATTTATGCAGCTGTTTCTCCTTTTTTCTACTGAACTTGGATAAGCAAGCAGTTGTTTGCTTTTTACATTATTTTCAACTGAAATATAATCACATTTAACTAATGAGGAGTACATGCCTCTTTAGTGAAGATCAAATTGAATAAATTTCTTTTTCAGTCTCTTCCTGCCAGTGTATTTTTAGGTAATATACTATTTTTTATGCTATCGGTAGTAGATACCTTAATGGTAAGGTTTGGTCATGACTTCAGTGTTTTTTGATATTGAAGATCTTGAAGGCAGTAGAAAATCTAAAATAAAACCTGATACTTAGGGGTTTTTTTAGTCTGTTCAAATCATTATTATCACGTGCTTCGTATAAAACACTTTAAATTTTCTGGTACTAGGTTTAAACAAGAAAAGCAGTATACACATCACATTAATCCTTCAAAGAGACATTACCTTGTAGTTTGGCACTTGGTTTCTTTGCTTTTGGGTTTGTTTTGCTTGTTAGCAGAAAAAGAAAAAGAAGTTGAAAGACGTTGGAGTCCAGAGACAGATTTCATCTCTAGAATTGATATTTAAAGATAATATTTTATACTTTTTTTGCAAATGGCTCAGTGGCATCTATGGAAAAATGCCTCCAGTTCTGCATGGAGTCCAGTGCCAGTGGCTGACTCTTTATGCTTGGAACTCCTTGCAGGATCTGAACTTGTGCCTTTATCTTAGAGTTTTTGTGAGCCATTATCTCCAATTCTACCATGTCATTCTCTTAACAGCAAATGCTTAATGCTTAATCTTAATGCTTAAACAGCAGATTTTATATGGATATATTTGTCTGAGAAGACATGGGAAAAATTACTAGAGACGTAGTGGCTTTTTTCTTAAATGTTGATGAGTTTATTAGAACATTAAACGACTCATCTGAAGAGATTCAGACTGAGAGTAGGAGAAGGAGGAATAAACAGCATCATTGAGAAAACCTGAGAGCAAAAAACACGATAGTATCTCACTTAGCATTTAACTTTGCGCACATTTTTTTTGTTTAAAGGATTGTTTTTTTACTTATACAAATGTGTATAGCTATATACTTCACTTTTTTGTTTTCTCTTTTTTGTTTAATATTTGGCTGAAATTTTATCCAGTGCCCTTCCTGAATAATTTGTTCTCTTTTTAGTCCTCAGAGTTTAGGGTAATGTGTCCATGGAATACTACTACTTAGAGTTAAGGTTTTGATAATGCCAGAAGCTGGGGCTCTTTTGTCATGGGCCTCCTTTAAATGAAAGAAAGTAAAGAGTACATACCGCATCTGTGTTATGGAAATGCCTTATAGCATTGCATAGCAATGGCATTTTGCTGCATTAAAAACTAATTACCTTTAGCAAACAAATATGCAGGGTGGTTTTCATAGTTGAAGAAGGAGCTTTGGACTGTTTGTTTCTTAATGTTTAAATGCTGAAGTTCGCTCGGTGAAATGGTGACTGGAAGATGTTGGGGCATGAGATTCAACTTTATATATATATTGTTGGTTATGTCTTGAGGGAAATGTGAATTTCCAAGAGGTATTTAGATGTGAAAGAATGGCACTATGTGAAACCAGAAAGGACTTGCAGAGAACAGTGAATAGGTAGGAATACTAGATGCTGACATAGTGGCTTTGTTTTTTCTCTTGATTTTGTTGCATTTCCATGAGTCCTTGCTCTCAGCAGTGTTTTCGTAACAGAATAGTTAAAGCTCATCAGTGGTTATGTCACTCAGTGTAGGTGCACAGTGGCACTAGAATTATCTGTCTTTTTTTCAATGGAAACTTACTGCTCCGGCTCTGGGATGCTTGATTTTCTTGGTCAGCGTAGAACATCTGGGCTTTTATCTTTTGTTCTCTGTATCCAGATTTAATTGTTGGGTCCAAGTATTTGTATTATGTCATTTCTGTTAATGGATGTTGGAAGAGTTTTTACAATTGTTTGGTTTGATGCAGTCCAGAACAGTTTGCTTTCTGCAGGTAGTACTGCTGCATAATAGATTTTTTCCTTCCCTTCCCTGGAAAATACATGTTTTTGAGGGCATACTTGTTCAAGTCTGAGATCTGGCTAATGTACCTTTTGTTAGAAATTCTTGTTTAAAAAGAATGTCTGTTAATCATTTAATAACAGTTAAAGAAAATTTCTGGAGGCTGCATGGAAATGTGATTGAGAGACCTGTGTTGAAATTAAGGTTACCTGGTTAAAACCTAATAAAAAGAACCTCTTAGATGTTATTGATTGCTGTCATGAAGTTCAACTGGCACAAGAATTTATCAGACTGAGTATCTCTCTGTTCATCAGGAGAAAAATTAATGAGCAATAGGAGTTCATTTTCCTTTAATTGACAGGAGTTGCTGAACTATGTTCTGTGTTCTTTGAATATCAAAATATGAAACATGGCAGCAAAGTCTCATCCTCTTAAATTCATTATCTGTTTCATCAGATTGTTGGGTTTGTCTAGTTTATCTGCATGGCCTAGCCTTCAGGTGACATAGAATGGGAAAATTGTATTTCTCCTGTATTTTCTTTGTGTGTGTGTGTGTATTTGAGAGAGATTTGTTTGTGCTGTGTTCCCGCTCAGTAGAAAAGGGACAGTAAAAGGGAGGTGCTCTCACAGTGTGAACTAGGCTGTGGCTGAGGTCAATGACTTGGAAGACACCTGCTTGGAGGGGCAAAGCAAGTTTCTGAATGCTTCATGTCTAGATTTTTGTCTTGCTGGTTACAGATCTAGCAAAGTAATCTCTCCTGAATCTCAAGTGATAGTTTAGTTCATGGTTTAGCAAGCCGTCTTGAGTTTTCAGTGCCTAATAGGTTACAGAAATTGGTGCCGATGCTTTCAGACTATGACAGCTAACTATTTAGCTGGATTACTATTCAGTTAGATACAACTGTGTTTATTCTTTTTGAAGAATATTGTTGAAATAAGGTTTTGGAACTGTTTGCTGGAATTTATTCCAATGTCCTGGAAATAATTGCGGAAAAATGTAAAATGTGGTATCTCTCAGTTACTCGCAGGTGGGGTTGCCCTGGCCTCTATGTGTTGAATTTAACACAAATTCAGCTGATCAGGAATAGTTTAATACAAACTAAGATAAGAATGTAATTTCATTCTTCTGTTACACAGCAGTGAAACAAAGACTAATGAAGACAGCCATGTGATTATCTATTGTTAATGTTTAAAAAGGGATTCTTGGGAGCTGTGGGATCAGAAAAGAGTGTCCATAATTCCTAGTGTAGCTGTACTCGGAGCCTCAGGGAATCATGTTTCCACAATGGAAATCAGGACGTTCCCTGTCTCAGCATCCTTTTCATGTTATTCTAAAGATCAAACATGAAATCTCTGCTTCTCATACTTCTCAGTAAGTTGAGTCAGGATAATATTTCTCTGTGAGACTTATTTAGAGATGCTGCAGTCTATATCAGAGTACGTTTTCAAAGCGCTGTGTAAGCCAGAGGCTGGCAGGGAAAACATCTAAAACTTTTTGGCGTTATGTATAGTTAGGTAACGTCCCGATTCATCTTTGGATTCTTTAATCAATGTTTGTTCGTAGTTGCATTTTCTGTAACGCTGTTCACCAGCCTGACACCATATGCATTAATACAGGCTGATACCGAAGTTTCCGCACCGTTGCAGTTCGTTGTCATTTCAGTTCTGCTGGTGGATGGGAACAAATTCTTCCTAGGCTCTGCTAACTTGGTCTTCTCGTTGTCTTGTCTTCTGGAGAGTGCTACTCTCTCTGGGGCATCACATGTATGTGTAGTGTTACGACAAAAACAGTTGGTCCAGGCAGCAAGTTAGTGATCTGCTCTGCAGCCTGCTGTAGACTAAGGAGCATCACGGTGCTGTTTTCTTCTGCAAGAATGCACAGCTAATGGAAAAGGGAAAAAACATAGTATGTGGCGAAGGGTTTGTCCTATCTGAGGAGCTGTCCTGTGGTGTTAACATCCTAATTCTCCTTCCAATCTAGGCAAGATGTTTTACAAAAAGAAACTTGGTCAACTACCTCGTACTTAACCGGTTTATCATACCAGTTGTCATAAGCTTTCTGATTATTCAGATAAGCTAAGTGTATTGTCTGTCTTCAGTCTTTGCCAATGAATGTTGGCTTGAAAAAGCATTTAGATTGTATGTATGAAGGACTATTTTGTTCATTTTCTATGTTAAATGTACTTATTTAAAGAGATAATCTCAAGTACTTCATAAAATAGATACTATGCAGTCAAAAATAGCTTTTGGACAGGAGTCATCAGTTCCTTGAGGTATCTGGTATTTTCAGAGAACATATTAGTGGTGGGACCTGAGGGGTAATTTAATTTTTTTCCTCTCCACTCTTACTTTCTCCAGTTCAGATATGCTTCATGTAACTTAGTCTTTTTCTATTAAAAAAACCCCGAAAACAAAACCCAACATTTTAATTACTAACTTCACATAATTTGCCGATAGAAGCTACTACTATTTCATGATCAGTTTACCTGATTCTGTATTTGCTTGCAAGGGGTTTTATGCAAATCTCTGATTCTTGTTAATGTTTATAAATTCATTCACATTTTTATTATTGACTGCTGAGACGATAATGTTTGGGTTTTTTGACATTCCAGTTTAAAATAATTATGTTGCCACATATGGTTCATCGTATTTCAGCCATATTTTAAGGACATCTTAGTTTAACATGCTGAAGTACTTTTTTGTTTCTATTATATTCCCTTTCTCTTCTAGAAATCTAGTTAGGTTGATTTTGTTCATTGTAGTTTTTAGAGTTTCTCTTTTACCCCAAATACACTGGAAAACTTTAAAGACATACATATGATTTCAGATTTACATCACAGCATTTCTGAGCCACTTCCACAGGCTACATTCTGGCTTCTTTTTATGTACAATCCTAGCTGCAAATATATTTTTCCAGTCAGTTTTGTTTATTATCTTTCTTGTACAGACTTAGCCTCCTTTGCCTTGTGGCTCACTTAGTCTGTTAAGGTAATGTAGGATGTGGCTACATGGTAATATTATCCTTTATTGTACACATCCTCTTTTTATTTGGTCTTTCACAACCTTTAAATCACTTCTTTTATTTGCTTTAACCTAGCTTTTGGAAAAGGGTGATTCCATGTGTAGCAATATGAAATAGATCGGTGATATCTGAACCTCTTCTCTGCCAAGCCTTATTTTAAATAGCAAAACGTCCTGATCTTTTTTCCTTCTAGTCATGATCAAAGAAGAATTTTTAGATTTCTCTCTGAAACTAAGTCTCCCTGTTAACAGTTTAGGTAACATAGCATTTTGCTAGTCGTCTTTTTGTGGTACTTTGTACTGCTCGTAGATTTCTAAAATGCGAATTTGGGGCTTGTTGGTGCTCATCTTTTTGCTCATCTGAATTCACAGTATTGTGTTCTCAGGTGCTTTTTAAAATGTAGAATGTTTCCTCTTCGTTTCTACCCCCACCCCTCCTTCTCAGACTGTATTGTTTTTTCCGGCATAGCATTTAGGGACTTCTGAAGAAAGCTCCTAAGATACTTCCTTTGAAGTCTTGAGATAAAGTTATGTCGAGAATCTTGTGATGATTTTAAAAATTGATGCAGTAATGGGGTGTGGGATGGGGGGCATTTGAAGACTGTCTAGGGAATCTCAGGGAATTCAGAGTATGGGTAATATCCATGATAAAACGTCCTCTGGTCAGGGAGGAGTTGAACAACTTTTTGTGTTTTCCTTAGTTCAAGCTGACATGAGAAGTTGGAAACACTCAACCATCAGATGCCAGGGACACAGGGTAAGCTGGCAGTGGGCTTGAGGGGAGGGATAGGGCACGAACCACATTGTGTGTGAAAGAGTAAAGACCATCCGAGGCAGGTGCGTTTTAAAGCTGATTGCAATCCCGTTCTTCCTGTACTGTTCCACTGGCTCAGCGTGCTGTTCACAATGAGGGAAACTTTGGTGTTTTGAGGGATCAGGGTTGCAGACAGATGTGGTAGAGCAGACCCTCCCATCTTGGTGGTGTTACACTGCAGGCCCATGTCACTTGTAGTGGGAGACCTAAATCTGCAAGGGATTTTATTTTAACAAAGGAGTCGAGTAGCATCTGGATTTCAATGAATTCTGAACGTTTTGGGAAGTACTGGTGTTGAGCACAGAAAAGGGGTTGTCCTTTGAGGAAAGCTGTGCAATCTTGATGATTTTTTTATCTTACACTGAAACCATCTTTTAAAAATACAGCATTTTTACTTTTCAAGTCTTAAATATTCAAATAATTGTTGACTGAAAAATAGCACTTAAGAACTTCTATGAGAACTCTGCGACTTTTCGTATAAAAAGCTGGTTTTCATAATGTGTGCTTGGTTTTTAGCAGTTACAATTCACTTGCGGTTTTGGATGTGTGGCTGTAGAGGATTTGGGATATGCTTTAATGTTACTAAGAAAATAAGGATGGACTGAGAGGTGGAGAGTATTATGGTTGACAGAATTGATAAGGAGCTTTGGAAAAAATGTGAAATGTTGGTGAATGGGCTGTATTTTGCATCATCAGATGCAATAGGGAAATCCATGGAATGATTTTGGAAGGAATATTTTTAACTTCTTACTGGTGTTATTTGAAGAGTCACAAATTCAATAGTAACATTTTTGTAAGACTTTTTTTTTCTAGAATAACAATCTATGATTTCTACAAATGTAAAAGTAGAGACAAAGATTCACGCATTTCTTTTAATATATTGATAGAGAGTTCATATGATGAGGGACAAGATAAAAGAATAGTCTATTTGAAAGACATTTTCAGGCTGTAATAAAATTTGGTTTATGCAGTCTGAGACGTAATATACGTGAATTGCGTAATCTTGCTCGGGGAATTTACCAAGTAATAATAAATGAAAATTAATGTTAGTAAATTCTGAGAAAAAAATGTAAATGTATTGTTATATAATCCATGTCATCACGTATTTTGTTTTATTTTTTCAGAGTAAAATTAATGGTGCTTTTGTCATCTACTTAGAAAAGATAGCATATATATATATATATGTATATAAAAGCATAGAGCTGTTGTGGTGGACTGATGTATTTTAGCCTCTTTCTAACCATACAACAAAGTAAAGCTTCAGGGGCATCATGTTTTAGTATAACCTGTTGTGATGCTTTTGGATTAGTTTTCTGTCCTTCGTTATTAAATGTGCAAGAAGCTGTAACTTTCTCGGGGATTAGTGACAGATACGATAGACTAAGCTCAGTAGGTTACACTTGTACGCAGGGTCTCGGGCCAGTAGTTCAATTTTCTACTCCAACTTGATGGCTGTGAAATATGTTCAAGTCTTTGACTTCCAACTTTGGTGCAGTTGAGCCGCTGTTAATCACGAGGTGGAAGTGTGGCTTGTTTTTTATGGGATAACAGATAAGAGACGTGTTCTGGTTAAGTCTCAAAATGAGATGTCCTGGCTGGATACCGAGACCACGATCTGTGCTTAAATAATGATAGCAATGATACCACAACAGTTAAGTGGCCCGTTAACGTGTAAAGTAGATGTTCCAAATCTTCTGATTTCCTTCCCTTTGGGGGCTCATCTGGATGTTTGTGGTTTGGATTTTGAGCAGCAAATTCTTCAGTGGTGCATGCGCGTGTTTCTTTAAACACGCCTGCCGAAACAACTTTGCAGTTTGAGCAGCGGTGGGCGGTAGATGTTAAAAGGAAAAAGAAGGGTGCTCGCATGAGCAGCCGATGATCAGGAAAGTTGTAAGTGACTGAATAGAGCTGGTTTTTCCGTATCACATGTAAATTCACTGGGTTTTATTGGAAGCAATCTTGAGTTTGCAGAATTGATCTATAGTAACTGTAGAGCTTTGAGTAACCCGAAGGAGAGTGTGCTAGAAAACTGGGCTGCAGTTCTGTGTACCATTCGGCAGCTGAGCTGGTATTTTCCAAGGAGCTTGTCAGACCTCCCTGGTATGTCCGTATTAAAAATATACATTCTTACTCTTTAATGGCCTATAAATACCTTTTCTGGGATGTCATCAGTGTGAATGATTTTCTGTAAACTGGTGGATGCATTTATCTTTATATGCAAAAATGTACTGTAACTAAAATGAAATTTTAGGTTTATTTCACGGAGGCAAAATACATTTGTTTCAAAGCTTGATTTTAATGCTATAACCAAAATGGGTGAATTTTTTTTCCTTAAATGAGCAAGCATCCATTAATAAAGCAAGGAGAGAGGTGATGTTTGAGTACGCTAGGATAATATCAAGGGCGATTTACTCTGGAGTTAAGCATCTTAAAAAAAATAGAAGCTTATTTCATGATTGAAAACATTTTCTGGTTTCAGTGTAGTTTTAAGTGAGTCTTATTTTCGGTGGAGGTGGAGATATTTGTCTGAGGACACATTTTGGCTCTGAAAGTAGAACTTGTAAGAAACGCTAAACCTTCGTATGTTATAAAGATGCAAAGCTGTATGATATGTATAAAAAAGTAAATAATGTTTTCAGGATCTGCATGTTTGTAATAAATGGGAAGAAGCTGCTCTTATTATTTCTGACCAAAATACAGAAAACACAGGTTATGTTTCTCATTGTCTGGTTTTTCAGGTTGGGGGTTTTTGGGGGTGGTTGTGGTATTTTTTTTTTGTTTAGTTTGTTTTGTGTAAAGTTTTTGAGAATGTTATTTGATGATGTTTTCTGACTTCTGAAGCAGATTTAGAAGAAAGTATCAATGAACACGAGTTGGAGCCTTCACCTCCCAAAGGAAAAAGGAGGGGTCGTAAGGGAAAGCCAAGAAAAACAAATTTAAAAGGGCAATCAGAAGACACTAGATCTACGTCCTCACATGGCACAGATGAAATAGAGAGCAGTTCCTATGTAAGCAGTAAATATGCTAAACTTCTTAGAAGACAGAATTGTATATTTCTTCTCTGCAATTATAATTTTTATTAAAATTTGCATTTGTCTGAGCCTCCAGCTGGTGGCCACAGGCTTTTAAAATTACAACCTTATTTGTAACCCAGCAGTATATTTTAGTAAAATGTTTTTCTTTCAGAGAGACAGGTCTCCCCACAGAAGCAGCCCCAGTGATACAAAACCTAAATGTGGATTCTGTCATGCAGGTGAAGAAGAAAATGAAGCTAGAGGAAAGCTTCATATATTTAATGCCAAAAAGGCTGCAGCACACTATAAGTGCATGGTGAGTAATGGTATTTTTGCTAACCAGTCTTTTATGTGAATTTTGTCTATTTTTGTCTATTTTAGATTTTAATACAGTACCCTTGCATGTAATTATGCATGAGTACTGTCTGTGTGCTGATGATGTCTTTAAGTGGTGAAGTGTTGCAGAGTGAGCAATTCATTTATTTTCACTGCAGGCAATATGGATAAAAGTTGGCTACATGCGAAGAGATGGAATTAGCTCAGGGAGACTCCTTAGCTGATTAAAAATGCTCCCTTAGCATCTTAAATGCATAGGCAATATCTAAAGAGGGAAACAGAAGACAATTTCAAGCAAAAGAATCCACTCCCCAAATAAAATACCTTTACTCCATAGGCGTTCAGACAAAACCCATGAGGAACTCATAAACTCCATTAATTTTCTCACCAGTGGATTCAGGCTGTGGGACTCAAGCAGAGTGGGACATGGAAATTCTAGAAAAGCCTTGCCTTTAGATTGTAACATTTCTAGAACTGTTGAGCCTGAGGAGAATCTGCTAATTTCGATGAACGTGAGCAGCTGGTGCTGTCTTAGCTATCGCTCGTTTTGTGAATGAGGTAGGGAGGGCCTTGAGTAACAAACCTCAGTGGTTCCTGTTGTACCTCAGAGTGTAAATACAGTCCAGGCAGTCTGGGGAGTATTAATGAAGAAGATAGAAGGGATGGTGCTTACATGCTCTATTATCATCCCTCCAGGCTTTTCAAGTGTGTTCACATCAGCCGTGCCGTGAAGCTGAATTACATGTATATATGTCACAGGGAAGGACACTGAATATTCCTAAAAATTATGCCACCAAACGGTGGCATAATTGATAGTAATACCTATTTATTACTTTTCATCGTGTCATTATTTCTTGTCTAGTCCTTTCTTTTAAAATACATTTCTCCAAGGCAACAAGTGTGATTAAAGCAATCAGGTGGGTATCAGAAGGAATATTCATCATAGAAATTGCTCAGCGTGGGTTTTTTTCTTAGTTTGTTGGTAAAGCACATGCTGTCTGAGATCACAGAAGGCGATACTCAACACTCAGTTACTCCTGTACATAAAATATTTCTAATCATGTTGATGACTTAAAATTATTTTGTCTTGCTTGTTTCACAGTTGTTCTCTTCTGGCACTGTCCAGCTAACAACAACTTCAAGGGCAGAGTTTGGTGATTTTGATATTAAAACTGTGCTTCAAGAAATCAAGAGAGGAAAAAGAATGGTACGTATCTGGAGAGTATGACGAACTTGTTACTGATTCTGCTGAGGTGTCTATAGCTCTGCCTCCTTCCTCTTGTGAAACAATCTTTTCCATCTGTTTCTAAACACAAAATTTATATGTATTGTTACTTTTGGGACAGGTAGCCAAATGGGAATCAGCCAAAAAATTAAGTGTTTTGTAATGGAGTATTTAGGGTTCTTTGTGATAATGTACATAGTAAATTATTATTAACCTTCTTGTAACTGTAAGAGAAGAAAAGCTCTGAATCCTGTGTTACTAAAAGCACAGTGTGCGAAACTACAAATAAACTTAGAGACTGTCTTCTTGCAGTGGTGTGTTTCCAACTGTTTTACTGTGAAAACATATTAAGGCCATAGAAATGGGGATGTTGGTAAAATGTCACATTGTATTTTATTAATATTTAGAATGTTTTTAAAGTGGTAAGAAACTTGGGGAGATGGGGGAAAGCAAACAAACAACTCCTATTGTTCCATGGAAGAAATGATCGTTTAAATTCTTCATATATTAACACACTAACTTCAGTGGCAATAAAATGTTCTTGGAAATGCAATAGGATGTGCAGCGATGTAGCACTTTTCACTGCAGTGGACAGGAGGGAAATCCTAGTGTTTGTATTTTAATAGGTCACTATTGTATAGTTTGTGTTTTACAATATCTTTGATGAACTTTTCGTCGGGAGGATGATGTGGCAGAGAAATTACTCTGTTCCAGAATGGTAGCTATAAATACAAGGAACACTCTACTAAGAGGCAAGAGGCTGAAAGGCTGAACAGTGTCGTTCTCTTCTTTCCCCTGCACAGAAATGCACGCTTTGCAGCCAGCCTGGTGCTACTATTGGATGTGAAATTAAAGCCTGCATAAAAACATACCATTACCACTGTGGAGTAGAAGACAAAGCTAAATACATTGAGAATATGTCACGAGGAATTTATAAGTAAGGACCTATGTAATTCTTGAATCTGTAATGAACGTAAAGGTATTTCATGGCACTTTTTCTGCCTAACTTGTCTTGTAAAGTATGTTATTAAAAAAGAGAATATTACATTGTTTCCAATTTTTTTTAAGTAATTGTTGACTTTGCAAAATATTTTAATTACTCTGCCAACTTTAAATTTTCTCTAGTAGTGTTGGAATATGAGCAGTGAGAAAATTAATTGGCTTATTAATTGGCCTAATTTATATTGAGGAAACTCTGGGTACCTTATGTCGTGATTCCTCCATATTCATTTGTTTTGTAGCTTAGTTTTGTTTTTTTGGATCGCGTTACTTCCATACTTGCTGGCTGTACTGCTGGCAGCTTGGCTGCAGTTGAGTTGTCACTGTGGTTGTGCCCACAAGAGGGCATTCTCTGAGCAGCAGAATAGCGATTCTTGAAAAATACAATTGAGCGAAGTTTTGTTGCCTAGTCTTCAACCTTGTTTTTTTTCCAAGTTTAACTGATGCTTGACTGAAAACCATAAATAAGTTAAAAGAGTTAGCAGCTGGCTTGTAGTGCAAAACTAATTGAGAGGAAAGTGTGGTTTTGTTCGATATTTTCAGTAAAAGTCCTCACCGTTTCTTTTATTGCACTAGACTCTATTGTAAAAACCATAGTGGAAATGATGAAAGAGATGAAGAAGATGAAGAAAGAGAAAGCAAAAGCCGTGGCAAATCAGGCACTGACCATAATGACATTCCTCAGCAGCAGCTCAACGGAAACTAGGTATGGAAGTTACTCCTGACAGATCTGTTACCGAGACTGAAACGCAATATACATTTAATGTAGTTTATTGCAGTGAAGTATTTAAATCTAGTGTATGCACAGAAGTACTTTTTATTGGCATACTGTAGAAAAATGGGGAGGATTTGTTGTTTTTTAAATCCGGCTCACTTCGTAACGGTATAAGAAGGGAGGCCCTCATTTCTGTCGCTAAATATAGATGTAATGTCAGAGCTGCTAAGTGCTTTTCTGTATGATTTTAAATTTACTATTGTTTTCATCGTTTTTTAAACAGGTTCAAGGGACAGAGTTAGAGAACTGGGAATGGCTAAGACATCATAACTACTAATTCTTTAAATTGTTTTCTAAAATCAGAAAAGGGTCAGTAACTTTTTACTGCCCGACTCTGTTAGAAATTTCATTGAACTGCCTGAAACGTTCATGTGTGTGAGCCTTCAGTAAGTGGCAGAGTTTTACATGTCAATATTATGTAGTCTGTAGTCTGCAGTGTCTGGAAAAAATGAAACACTATATAAATGATATGTAATATGTACAGTGTCAAAAGTTAAGGCAGACATTGAAATGAAGTGAGATCTATATTTCTGGACTGAATAAAATCCTTAAGATATGGAATGTGTAAGTTGTTTAGTGGATTCATGGAATGAGGGAAGGTCTTAGCTAGTTTAATTAACAACACAGACAAGCTCGTGGTGGCAACAAGCTGGTACTTTGTGAATTTTGCGTTTTCTTCATACACAAGTTACGGAGGCTGTACATGGGAAAGCCGCGCTCTGTTTTTGCTTGCAAAGCACACAGTAGAAAAGGACTCAGTGTACACCGAAGCACGCTTGAACATTTCAGGTTGTTCCTGTTGTGATTGCTCATTCCGCCCGGCATTGTTTGCGGGAGATTTACTTGAGCAGCTGTTGGTTCTGAGCTGTGAGCTTTAGAACTCATGCCAAAGGGCTGT